CTGCTCCTGGGTACGCATTAGCCGATATTATGGCATTTCAGAATCTTTGATTTATTATTATGTAATCTATTTGGTTTGTTTATTATAATTTTAATATCATTTCTAGGTGCTTTCCATGTATATATTCTTCGATTTGGGAATTTATACCACTTGTTTTTGATAATAAGTTCGTTAATTTTGCAAAACTGAACTACTGGTTAAAGTCACCTAAAATCAAATTTACTTCTTCTTTTTTAGTTTCATTAAATGTTTTGTTTAAGTCATTGTAGAAGCTGTTTACTTCTTCCTCTGTGCTATCAGATGTTGGTGCGTACACTACAAAGATGTTTATGTTGCACTAACATAAACTATACAACACTGTTGATGTTATTCTATCCTTTATCGGTATGAACCCTTTGATTAAACTTTCGATTTCATTGCTGATAGTTACACACTTTTGAAGCTAGTAATCAGTTTCTAAGACATTCGCCAAATACAAATATTATGTCCATCAATTCTTCAGTTGAAAAATTCAGATTTAAATTATAAAGATTTGTTAAAAAAATACAACTACAACAATATTGGCAGCTTTTGTAACACATTTAGATACTACGTTATTTTATTAAACATTTTGACTGATATATTTAACGTTTCTTTGGTTCAAATAATGTTTACTAGCATACATTTTTATTGATAATCTTTGATATTTTAACGTATGTTTCTAAAATCAGAGTATAATTCTTATTTTTGCAAAACACTTTTTTTTTAAATCTGCAATAAATAAAATATATAGTTCTTTTTTAAATATCTACAATACTAAACTTACTAAATAACTACAACCTTAGTTACAACATTGTTAGAGAATGGTTCCTTGGGAATTAGACGAAACATGTGGTTTTAATATGACGGAACACCACCGCATCAAACAATAAATGTTAGGCATGTGCTAAATAATAACCATAGCTCCAGTTGAATCGGATATGGTACTGTGAAATGGCTTTTAATATATCCAGGACTTACTTCACTGGACTATTTTTTGGGTACATCAAGAATATAGTATACATGTTCAATCCACAACACATCATCATCATCATTAATGGTACTACAGCCCTATGAAAGAGCCCTGACCTTTCCAAGTCTATTACGCCAGGCAGTCCTATCCATTGCCAACCGTTGCCAGTTTGCTGCGCCTATCTTTCTACCATCCTCATCTACACCATCCTTCCATCTGAGTTTTGGCCTACCCCTTTTTCTACTTCCACGGGTTATGACATAAGGATTCTTTTAGGAGGGTTGTTCTGCTGTGATCTTGCTAGATGTCCTGCCCATCTTAGTCTTCCTATTCTTATAAGAGATACTACGTCTTTACCACCAAATATTTGTTTATATCTGTGGTATACCTCGTTGTTGTATCTCCTCCTCCAAACACCGTTTTCACAGATGCCACCAAATATTCCTCTCAGGATCCTTCGTTCAAATATAAGCAGAAGGTTTTCGTCTGCCTTGGAGATGGTCCATGTCTCCGATCCATATGTCAACACTGGCTGTATAAGGGTTTTGTATATGGTTATTTTTGTTTTTTGGCTTAAGTTTCTACTTCTCATATGTCTACTCAGTCCAAAATAGCATCTGTTTGCCATTATTATCCTTCGCTTGATTTCTTTCGTTATGGCGTTCTCTTTGGTGATCAGGGAGCCTAAGTATGTGAATTTGTCCACCACTTCAAAGGTAGAGTTATCAACTGTGAATTGGGGACCGATTTTTCTGACTCTATTGTTGGGTTTTGATGCCATTATCTTAGTTTTCTCACACAATCCATAACACAAGATAGTGAGAAAGTTTGTATACACAATGCATTTGCCAGTGTGGGAGCTGAATTGAAAGAAGTTCGACAGTCCTTTATCAACATCGTTTACGACGGTGTCTTAAACATAATGGGCAAAATTTTGAACAGATAATAATAAGAACGCATCTGAAGATGGAACAGGCGCAAGCCTATATTTCAATAAATAAAACATGAATACTTAAAATATTTGTTTTACTACTTTCTGAATTCCAATGTTGTGTTTTCTGCAGTTTGACCACCATGTATAGTTTCCAATCCAATATGCTTTGATAAATGAGTGTGATCTGGATATGTATTTGGGGCTAGATATTAGCATAATATTTTAGGATGTCAATATGTCTGACACCCCTCTTCACAGCCCACTCTGCAGTGTATATCGAATTAATGAATAGAGTAAACTCAAATCCGTCACAAGTGCAATGAAGGGTATTAACAAGGGGGTACCGGAAAGACCACACTACAACTTTGGGGTAGAATTCACTGCATAAAGAAAAATTCATAACTTGCTTATAGAATATTTTCGTTTTGTGTAATAGAGTCGACACTCTATTAAAAGTTGTTACGTTAACATAAATTTTGACAGTTTTTTGCTATATAAATTTGTTAAAAAATTCATTAAATCATTTCTTTTTACTGATAATAATTGATTACATTTTTAACAGATTCACTGTTCAGATTTAACAGGTTTTAGAGTGAAAAATGCTCATCAATCCAGTTATGTTTTTGAAAAAATTGATATCTTCGGGGTATGAATAAATAAATAATGTAAAATATATAAATATGTAATTAAAAGATATTTGCTTTAAAGCATACTACATAATGGACTGTGGACTCTATAGAACAAAAATGACCAAAAGTTGTTTTGTGAATCCACAGAAAATATGTGGTATGTGCGTACTTTCCTCATTTTATCCATTTTTTTCCTGTATCAAATAAGAAATGGCGTGGACAACTCATCTATTACGATAAACTAAGATCTTTATAAAGATCTTGCTTAAATAGTTAAACGGAAAATAATTATTTACTTTCGTTTGAATATCCCGGGTGATTGCCATGATCCCTTATTTTTAATCTCTTGAACCTTTTATGGTTAGTATTTTTATTTACTGTTTCACTTCTGCTGCAGGTGCTTCATGAAATAGATCTATACTTACGGATTGGCTTGACATGAGGATACTGTTAAGTTCTGGTTTTTCTTTTAATATTTAATTAACACCAATAAGGTGCTTAAGAACATTACAATCAGATCAAACAGTATGATCAATGAGCAACTTTTTCTAGCCTAAATGATTACTAAAAACTTAAGATTAAGGATAAACTATCTAGTGTCCATTAAGTTCTCAAAGAACTGGATGATGTCAACATTGATGACTTTTTTATTAATCTTGTTAACAGTTTCCATTTTCAGGTCCCTATAGAGGTCACAGTTCCCATAGTATCAAAAAGCGTTGACAATTAGCACTTTGTTTTGGAGTATTTGGATGACGTCTAAATTATTCTTACTACCACAACCCCACAAATGGATGCCATATGTATTTATAGCTTTTAGAATCTGTTTATATACGACTATTTTGTTGTATATTGACAGAGTGGATTGTATTAACAATAGCACATACATTTTTTTTATACTGATGCTAAGCTGTTCTGTTTTGTTAACATAAACCCTCTAGCGTAGCCTGGCGTCTAATGTGATAACGAAATATTTTGCGATGTCGGCATATGGTATTTAAGTATTATTTACATTAACAGGAATATGTTGTTTTTCTTAAATTAATATGCACTGACTTCCTTTCATTTAATTTAATTAGCGAGTATTTAGTCCAGTTGTTAAGTATGTTAATAGTGTGTTATAAACTAACTCAGGGATATTACTAGTATGTAATAAGTACAAGAGTGGTCCTATCACATGACCTTGTGGTACACCTGCATTGATTTCTTTGAATTCCGAGTAGGCTTCTTCTTGCTTAACCCCAAAAACTCTATCTGACATTTGTGATTCCAATAATTCTATGTATTTACTTGCAAACATTTTGCTTAAATTATATTCCTTGACGTCCTTCATAAAGTCCTTCATGCCATACTTTATCATAAGCTTGCGCCACGCCAAGAGAGACAGAGGAGCAAACTTTCTTTTTTTTTACTGACTTGTTTATTATATCTGTTATTCTATAGACTTAATCGATAGTCAAATGACTTTTCTGAAAATGGTGTGATGAAATTAGAGCCTTAGCGTCTATGAAAGGTTTCAGCCTTTTTAGCAATAGCTTCTCACATAGCTTTGAAATTACAGGTAGTAAAGTAATTGACCTATACGATAATACTGTATTCGGTTGCTTTTCAAGTTTAATGGTCATTATGACCTCTGCTAATTTTTGTATCTGAGGAATATAATATGTTAATCTGAACAAAGAATTTATAAGGTATGTCAGCTTTACTATGGCCTTTTAGGAAGTTGTTTTATAATTTCCCCAGTAATTAAACCAAATCAGGTGCTTTCCTGGGATTGACATTTACTTCAGTTTCATTGGACACTTCTTTTAGAGTGACTAATTTAATTTCATCTTTTTTATGTAACATTTTCCTTAACCCCTTCATTTGGCTTAAATGTTTCCTGAAATTCAGCAAATTTTATAAAATAATTTGTTTAAGTAGTATTTTCAGAAAGATTTCCGAAATTGAAATTTAAAAAATAACACAAACTTATTTTTAACCAAAATTACGGTTAATTTTCAATATCAGACTGACTGCTGCTTTCTAATATTATACTATTTACATATGGACTGTTGCCATATAGTCCTGATTTTTCATTAAAATTGACGTAAAGCAGCCCCTGCATCTCTTTCTAATGGGTCGGGTGTATTGATCACCTGCCCTTCCCATTGGTCATTTAGGTAACATGGTTGATAAACCTGGCAAATTAGAAAGGGATGCAGTTACTGCTTTGCATAAGTTTTCTCTGTCGAAGTGGAGAAACGTGACTGTATTGCAGCACTCCGTCTGTTTGTATTATATGCCTATGAAGTAGATAGTCAATTATATTGCTATATAATTACAAATGCAACTTTGTTAGCATTACATGACAATTTGCTGCAAACATAAAAGTCGACTACAGGAAAAAGTCTTGAATTCAAGAAGAAGAAGAAACAATCCAGTTGACAGTTTTCTATTTACTATTAATATATGTCATGTGTCAAAATATCTATCAATAATTTTCAAATATGGAAAGATGAGACATAAATAAAAACAGAACATATTATTTTATTTTCATGAAAAGTGCAAAAATGAATCATAAAATTATAGCTACATCAGCATTATATGTAAGTAATAAGTAATTGTAAATGTAACCTTACTCTTGTACTAATTAGTTCAGTTTTATTGTTATTTATAATTATAGTCATTCATATAATTTCGGTCAGTATAGGGCTACGTCGCATCGCGTCAATCGGTTCCATCTTTTTTGACGTGCTATGAATCTTCGAGGGTACATCAATAGAGAGAATTTCTGCGTATAAGAAAAATTCATATATTATATGGTATTTTCCCGCAGTCATAGTTTAGATAATCTTGGTCTATTGTTCCCATTTTGCCATGTTTGAATTTACAGGAGTGACCCTGTTCGTATCTTGTAATAATTTTCCTTGTTCTAAAATTTAGAGATTGCCCCACCATTAAACCTATAGAAAAGTAAAATATTCAGGTGGTTCATCCTACACTGTTCCAAGAAAACTTTTGCTGAGTTTCAATCGTTTTCGTGGTGTCCAAGCTCTGTCTATGACATAGCGCTCGTCCGCGATTTGTGTTCTGCCATAATATAAAATATATAATAATATAATATATAATATAATAAAAATCACATAAAAAAACATTCTTGCCTTGAAATAGTAAGGATACGTTCGTAGCCTCTAAAATTACATAAAACCAAGACAAAAACAAATAGATTTGCAGAAATTAAAAGAAATAAGCGGCTGCATGATAAATTATTTCGAATATTTGAAAGAAATTCATACAAAAGCTTTCAAAAAAGCCTGTAATCAAAACTTAATTAATTTTATTTTATAGGAAAGTTTAATACATATAGTACATATAGTACATCGCTATCTGATAATGGTTTGCACCGTTCATGAAGTAGCTCAAAATTATCTTCATCCTCAGAAGAAATTGTCTCTGCAATAGAGACATGATGGTCAGAAAGGTGATGGATTTTCACAAGCTTCATTCTCGCTGTGTGTAGCTCTTCCTTTTCTGAAAATATAATCAATAATTAAACTTTGCGATGATGATGCTAGTAATTTTTTATGTTGTTCACGATATTCTGACATGCAGCTCTGCAGATAACGTTGTAATTTACAGGCTCGTTCAGAATTAGGATCATTAATAAGAAAATGATTTTCTAATTTAATTTACTGCAAATTTGAAGACCTCCTTGAACTAATTTGGTAATGAGGGAGGTTGGTTTTTCTTCCTCATCATTATCATTTTCTAAACTCACGACGCCATTTAAAGTTAGATTTCAAGTTTGATCAATTATATCATGGCCACTTAATTCATCATCCACAATAAATTTATCTATGTCACCGTGGCTCAAGGTATTAAAACCATCTTCGACAATTTCATGTGCCAAATTAGTTATTTTATCTGATAGTGTCGATGTTTAAATGGTTGCATTGCTTGTTACACATTGTTACACATGCTGGCCAAACCTTTTTAAAACAGGCATTTAAAGTTCTTGGTCTTATTTGAGCGGAAGTAGATGCAACATGAATCAAACAATCAAATATAGCCTCATGGATCAGAGTTGTTGGACACATTCCTGAATGATATAATCGATAAAGGAGAGACGATAACATTTACCATGGAAAAGGAATATAATAACACACTACTGCATTTTATAACGAACTATCGAACACCTTAAAACGCTTCTCCAGAAAGGATTTAACTTTGATTATGGGTGATCTAAATGCCAAAGTTGGTAGGGGACAATCGGGAGAATTCATAGGACAATTTGGACTTGGAGAAAGAAATAAGCGAGAAGACCGACTGGGTGAATTTGTATCAGAAGAAGAGTTTGTGATTACTAACACTTACTTCAAACTCCCACACAGAAGATTATATACATGGAAATTACCTCAAGATACTCCAAGCCGCATAGTGAGAAATCAAATAGATTACATTCTGATTAATAAAAGATTTCGGAACAGCATAAGATCAGTCAAGTCATACCCACATAGCAACTCAGACCATAACCCACTGATTGGCAAAATTAGGCTCAGGCTAAAGAAGGTTAGACGTAGTGTCAATCCAAAATTTGTCATCAATCTATTAAAAGACCAACACACAGAACATAGTGTAAAGCGGTATATACAGTCAGTCTGATGTAATAGACCAGAAACTAGAAAAGTTACATTTAGTTTTAAAAGACATACGAGAGAAATTTCTCAAACCACCAAAAATAAAGAAGAAATCGTGGATGACAAATGAGATTCTAGATATGATGGAAGAGAGGCAAAAGTTCAAAGATCAAGACGTGTTATTATACAAAAGAATCGATAAAAATATCAAAAAGCTATTAGAATAGCTAAGGATACACATCTAAGAAAACAGTGTGCGGAAATACAGCAATTGCAACATAAACACGATAACACGATTCATTTAATATGCACAAAAAATTTAAAGAAACCGCAGGTTTCAGGAAACAGCAAAGCTGGTTAAAGTCGACCTTCGTGACCATACCAAGAAAAGTAAATGCCAAGACATGCGAAGACTACAGAACAATTAGCCTAATGAGCCACTTACTTAAAACGTTCTTGAAAGTGATACACGGCAGAATATATAAAAAATGCGAAGAACAAGTATCATGGACGCAGTTTGGATTCTGCAATTACTTTGGCACCCGAGAGGCTCTATTGGCTGTCCAAGTGCTTTTGCAAAGATTCAGGGATGTTAACTGTGATGTGTATATTTGTTTTATCGACTAAAAAAAGGCATTTGATAGAGTAAAGCATAAAAAACTTATAAAACTTCTTGAAAGAAATGGGGTTAGATGATAGGGACTTGTGAATCATCTATAATTTATATTACTACCAAACAGCCAATATTAAAGTGGGTGATCAATTGACAGAGGCAGTCTCCATAGATAGCGAAGTGAGACAAGGATGCATTCTCTTCCCGTTGTTATTTGTTATTTAATATATACTCTGAATATATCCTCGAGCAAGCGCTGGGAGAAGTACAAGAAGGCGTATTAGTCAACGGAATGCGTCTAAACAACATTAGATATGCCGACGATGCAGTAGTTTTTGCAGATAGTCGAGACGGTTTGCAAAGGATAATGTCGCTATATCAGATATAAGTAGAGAACACGGACTTGATCTTAATACGAAGAAAACAACGTACATGGTAGTCAGTAAGCGCGAAATATTAAATACACAGCTTTTGGTTAACCAACATCTAATTGACAGAGTGGACAGCTACACATACGTTGGTACCAACATTAACAACCAATGGGATCATTCCAGTGAAATAAAACAACGCATAGGAAACCTGAGAAAATGGTTTAATACATCGACAACCGGACTATTCAGTAGCAGCAAGCAAAGTTAGGATAGGCATGTTGATCGCCAACATAAAAAGAAGAAGAATAAATATCCACTTACAGGAATTTTTGTTTGAATTAGTTCCTCAATCCAAATTGCGATGGCTCTTTCTGTTTCTTTTAATAATGCATCCCTTGAGTAAGATGACAATTTGGCGCTTAATTTTGTACCAGAAATTATAAATTTTCTTAAAGCAATTTCATTTTTCTTAATTGCTCTTAGAGTTGATTCGCCTAAATTAAAATGTGTTTCAATCGCCGCAGATCCTCTCCTTTTCCTAAGCGACCTAAAATTGCAATTTTCGTTTTCAACGAAATTAATTGCCTTTGATGTTTGTTTTTCTCAATTCTTCTTTTTCTTGATGCTCCTATCCATTACGAATATTGGGGATTATCATGGCAATCTTTATCTTATCTGCAGCAACGCGGAAAAGCTGCACAGATGTTGTATTGAACCAGATTTTGACGTTCTTTAACTAAGATGTTCTTCTTCTTCCTGGACCTAGCTTTCCAAATATTTTTTCTTGTAGGACGGCTTGAAGGAGAGTATATCTGGTTTCATTTCGCATATGTCCGAAGAATTATACCTTTCGAGATTTAATGGTGGTCAGTACCTCTAGGTTCATTCGAGGTTGGACTGTGTATTCTAATGTATTGCCATTCCATGCAGTTTGGAATTTTTGACTATTACTTTGTCTGTAGTTACTATTGGTTCTTTTTTTGAGTTTTTGGGCCCTTATTTAGTTTTGACAAGGCTATTATGTTAGATTGTCTCTATGTTTTTGGAATTTCTCAGCCCTTACAGCACGTTTTGTAGAGCTGCTGAATCCATTTTTTTGTTCTTTGGCCTAGATGCTTTATATGTTTACTGAATATAGCATCCATACATGCGGCTTTCTCGTTTTTTAGCCTGTTCATACTATCGTGGAGTTCTGTTATTGTAAATAGAGTTTCTATGTGGTTTGTAACGGTTGTCCCAGTCTCCTTTTAATTTTTGGGTCTTTATATCGATTCTAATCTTGACATTCACAAGAAATTGAGTAGCAGCTTATTTTACTGTAACCTTGCAAGGTGATTTATGTTCATTAGGGTAACCGTTAAGTTTTTAACAAGCAGAGGTAAATGACAATAAAGGACCAGCAAGAAGACATACTTTCTGGTTGGAAGATAATATACAGTGCTTTTCAGATAAAACTAACTACCTTAAATAACTTTTGAACCTCTAATTTTTTGGAAAAACGCAAAAACACTTTAATTAATATCTGAAGGGGGAGGCATAATATCATATTTAAGGTTGCTGGAAAATGCACCCTCTCACCCCCCGTATCAACCCTTTATTTTTTTTAAATTACTACCCCTTTATTTATTTTATATTTGGATTCTCCTTTTTGTACTGATTTCAGAAATGTATAATACATGATACTTGAAGTGATTAGTTTATGAGAAAAGTAAATATAAAAGCAAGAAAATTGGATTGAAAAAAAAATTATTTTTTAACAATTTTATTACACACATTTAGAACAAACATTTTACTACTAAAAATTTTTACAATAATTGTTCAAAATGACTGCCTTGCACTTCCATACAATAGTACAATCTATTTTGAAATTCTTCTCTGACATTGCTTAACACGTCTGCATTTAATTGTCGACATTCACCCTCTATTCTTTGTTGTAAATAATCTAGATATTCTGGTTGGGTAGCATAATTTTTGTTTTTAAATAC